TTTAAACTAAAATCCTATAAAAGTTTAAATATATAACTTCTCAAACAACCTCCATTTAAGACTTTAAGAGATAAATATTTAATACTGATTTCAGATACATAAAAAGATGGTATAAATATACACTAAAATTAAGAAACTCTAACATATTAAATAAATTATTTAGAATATCCTTCTTCTGTAATTAAATATGACGAAAGCTTTCCTTATCCAAATAATCATCCTTTTATCATAAATGAAAAGGAAATAACGTTTGTTTCTAATTAATAAAAAATAAATATTAATATCCCTTTATTCAACATTTACAATTTACCTAAAGCAGTATAAAATAATGGCGATTACGTCTGTATATAATATATTTAAGACAAATGGGTTACTTAAGATTGCTTACTTTTATATTATACTAATAAATAAAATGAAATTTAATAATTTATATGTTAATGTAAAACGCAAGGAAAATAGACTCTTGTTAATGACATAAATGCAATATATAAAAAAACAATTAATTTAAAAAATTAATATCTCTATACTTTATAGTAGACTTTAGTTATTATCAATGTAATTTATATGATGCTGATTATATATTTAAAATAAATTGATAAAATTTAATATTTATAAATGGAAGAAACAACAATAAATAAAAATTAAATTAAAGATATTATTTTTAAAAATGATATTAATGATGAATAAAGAAATATATAATTAGATAATATTTTAAGAAATAAATTAAAAATAATAAAACTAAATCAAAATATTATAAATACTCGAAATACAAAATAAAGTATATAATAAAATAATATATATATATATATATATATATTAATATATATATTTTTTTTTTTTATATTTAAAGAATCTTTGAATCATTTATAAATAAATTAAAAATTTAGTTAGTATAATTAATAATTTTAAATTCCTGTCTTTAATTAATTTTAAAATATTTCAATAAAAAATTTATACTAAAGTAATTAATATTCAAATAATCATTAAGATAATTAATAATAGCAATAATTATAATAGATTTAAATATAAAAAAAATAATCTTATGTAAGTAATTTTTTTAATAAATTAGTAAAAATAATTAAAAGTTGTATTAGTACTTCAAATACTAAAAATGATTTTAAATTAGATGATTAAAATATATCATATAATAATATGCAGGATTTAACTATTAATAATTTTTCTAAATTACCTTTTTAAAAATAAGCTAACGGTATTCTAGAAAATAGTATTTATGAAAATGGAATATTACCTCAAATTAATTTTTCTAACCTTCATGATGCTGAAATTTCTATAATTAAATAAAAAAATATGAATTTTACTAAAAGAAAAAGACAATAAGTAGGTTAAAATCATTCATAAAATATATAAGACCATTTAAATAAATATGATAAAAACGATTAAATTTGTGGAAATAAATCAATGGATTATTCTAAATAATATTATAAATAAGAAGAAAATAATGATTAATCACAATAATTATAACGATAAAAAATATCATAAAATGAAATTAATAAATAAAATATAATTGTGTTTGAAAAGAAAAATTAAATTTAAAATTAAAATTAATTAAATGAACTTTTTAATTAATAAAGCCTTTAGTATAAAAGTAGATGTCTTTTATTTATAAGTTTACATGAATTAATTTAAATATTTATTTTCTTTAATTAATTTTTAAGTAGACCTTTTAGAGCAACTTTATAATATGTAAAATATTTAATCCTTTTTACTGTTAATTTTGTTATATTTAATGATTTCAATTTTATCTAAAATGCAATTGCTAATCTATTATTATTGTTAACTATTAATTCATTAATCATTTTGATAGAAAGTATATATAAAATAATTAATAATAAAATATTCAAATGCTATATATATTTAATTTTCTTTTCTATAGTCTCAATTTGTTATTACTATATTTGTATTAGTATTTAAAAAAAAATATATATTAAATATAATAATTGGTTGCCTTTTTATTTTTTAGTATTATTTTTTGATATTTTTATTTATTAAATTGCTTCTGCATTTATTAAATATAAGCTAATTCTATAAATGATTTTTTATAAAATTAATAAATAATGCTTTTGGATAAAAATAAATTTATTTAGTATTTTAAATTTAGAAAATTATATAATGAATATGTATAATAAAAGATACTAAAATTATTATGTTTGACTAGTTTTTTGTTATTTATTTATTATTTTAATAAATTTTGTAACTTTATATAATTTTTATATTTATTATAATTATTTTTATTATTTTTTAAGATAATTAATAATATTTTTATTATTTTTAATCATATAAGTTTTTGATTTTTTTAATTTTTCCAAAAAATAATAAATTATAAATATTAGATAATATTTAAATACATGCTTTGCAAATTTTTATAAGAAAAATTTTTGATAATAACTATATTACTATTACTATTTTGAATTTCATTCATAAAAATATTGCATATAATAAATACATTTTCAAAATATATTTTTATTATAGTTATTTTTATTTTATTCATAATTAATTAAAATATATTTAATTTTTTTATAAATTTTTTTTTTTTTTTTTTAAATAATATAAAAATTTTAGAAAAATTTAATAATAATAAAGTATAAGTCTTAATATTTTCAAAATTTAATTTTTTTTATTATTATTATAATTATTTATTTTGTATATAATTTATAGATTAAATAAATAAAAGATTTTTTTTTTTTTTCTTTAGTTAATTTTTTTTGATAATATTTATTTTTATTTATTCTAAAATTTATTAAATATTATTTTAATTTATATATAAAATGATAATAAAAAATAAAAATATCAATGGGTAACACCTGAAATATTAGGATGAGCAAAAGGTCTTCTTTATTCCAAATAATCGTTTATATTTCCATCAGGTCCTCTTGAATCTTAAGCAGGTCTAGTTTATCCAGCTCTTGCTTATCTGAAAACTTGTAGCACAATTTCAGTCATTCTTTCAATAGATAATCTTTATCCATCTCTTAAATTTGATCTTTCAGTGTTAATTAAATTGCTTTTAATTTATATTTAACATTAAAAAAAAATATATATTATATAATAATACTCAAGATGATTTAAAATTTCTTATTCATATGTATTTTCTCCTTTTTAGATTTATTAATATTATTAGTTCTTCCATTCAAGATGCTCATTTCTTACTTAGTAAGTAAAAAGTTAATAAGGATGTTGATTATATGACATTAATTCAAAATCTCTATCATATTAATCGACAAATCTTCTTTCCTTATATTTAAAAAAAAAATATATATATAATTGTTCATTAATTTTCTTTTTATTAAAAAAAATAATATATTTATTACACCACCATGCTTAATCAAATCAGTTGGGGTTTAAGAATCATATGGAATATAAAAAAATGAACGTAAACCTAAAATAAATATTTCCTAATGCGATTTTTTTTTTTATTAAATAAATTATTTATTTTTATATTTATACTTCAAGTTATTTATCACCTAAGAAATATTATTTGCAATGTCTAGACATATTTCTGTAAGTTTGGTGCACTATTATTTTATTTGATATATATATATATATATTATTGTTTTTTTATTATATTTTTTATTTACTTCTTAAAAATGAATGATGGTCATATCTACATCTAATTGCTACAGTCATTTCTCCATCGGAAGGTCTGGGAGTATTAAAGTTTTTAGGATGCCAATTATTTCTTTATATATATATTATATTTATATATAAATATTTAATTTTTATATAATATATCACTTCCATCCACCTCTAGTCCAAAATATTGATTTATTTCTTATTTTGTATCCCATTAACTTAAATATTTTTTTTTTTTATTTTAATAATTTTATTTAAAATATATTTTTTTTTCCTTTTATATATATAAATCATTTTAAATATTTTCTTTATTAATACTTTTTTATAATTATATGTTTTTTATTTATATAAAAAAAATATAAAATACTATTTTAATATTTTTTTTGATCATTAATAGTTTACAATTTTCACACCATCTAAATTTAAATCATTTTTTAAAACATTTTATAAACAACTGATTCTATATTCATCAAATCTAACAACTATTTTTCTAATTCTTCGAGAAATCATTGTTTCAAAGCAGTTTCCATTAATACTTTAAGCTTCACTTATATTAATATGTGACAAAAACTCCATTTTTTACAAAATAAATTAAAATCCATCGTCATTAAACTAATCTCCTTGAAGCCTTTATTTATATTTATATATAAAAAATATATAATAATATAAATTTACCTTATTTTTTTAATTTATGAATACACTTCACTAATTAATTATAAAATATTATTGTTACACCATGCACCTAAAGATAAATATTAAATGCTGGGTAAGTTGTTAAAAATATGTCTAAAAATTAATTAATTAGGAACTAATTATTTATACCAATCATTAATAGTTTTAACATAAATATTTTATATTTTTAAATATTAAAGATTTGAGAATTTCGAAAGATTTTCTAATTTAGTTTCGTATATTTAATTTTTATCTTAAATATCTTTTGTTAAATATACATTTTTTACTTTTAATTTTTTTAATTTTTCAGGGTTAGATATTTATAGAATTTTATCAAAAAATATATATGAAACATGGTATATTTCCAATTCTTCTAATTTCATATTACTTTAAATTAACTTGTAAACGGCTGTGTCTGTAATGCTTTCATTTTTATTGTGGGAAGTAGAATTTTTAGATTTCAAAGCAATTCTTCTTAATTAAGGTAAAAAAGCTTAAAATTATAATAAAATATCATCAGAAATTTTACAGTAATATGGTAATATTATTTCCTATAGTAATTTTGATTTAAGAATTATTTTTTTTATAATTTTCTCATTTAAATAACTATAATAAGTAAAATCTAAAACTTCAAGTTTTTTGTATTCGAGATCGACTTCTTCTAATAGCTATTTTGGTCCTAAATGATTAAGTTTGCTTATATGCAAATGCTTTATGTTTTTAGCTTATTTTAGGAGTTATAATATTCTTTCAGGAGGAGTTTCAGCGTATTTAAATTCTAATTTTTTGATTTCATTAAGAACTCTGCAATTAAATTCTTTACTAACACATCTTAATTGAAGAAATTGCTTATGTTAAATGTATGAAAGTATAATAGAATATAAGTATTAGGGAAATGCTTATAAATATTTATTCAAATCTACTTCTTTTTATTTTTATAAAATAATCATATTATTATTTTTCAAAAGTTTTTTTCTTGAATAATTTATTATAAGTACTCTTCTTGTTATACTCGTTTTTATAATAAACTACTTCTATCAACTTTATACATATTAGTTTTATTATTATTATTTTACAATTCATGTTTTTATTATTTTGATTATTAATATTATTATTATTATTATTATTATTATAATTATTATTATTATTATTATTATTTTTATTATTATATTTATTCTTTTTATATAGGAATTGTTTGTTTTTAATATGTTTTTATTAAATCTTCTATTTTTATCATTAAAACTCTTAATGTTTCTTAAGTTGATTAAGACAGACATATATAAGCAATTTTTTGGTTTTTACTTATTGTCGATTATTTTGTTAAACTTTCATCTTCAGTTTCTTCTTATATTTCTATTGTTATTTTTCCTTCTTTAAGTAAAGCTTAATTAAATTTTCTTAATTGATAAAGTTTGAAAGAATATAATTATACACCTTATTAATTTTAAGGCTCTATTTAAATAAATGGATGTTTACTGTAATTTATTTCACCTTTATCGTATTATACATATAAATGTAAACGTCGGCTGATATTTTTTGTATTTTATACTGTTAACGGGACAAAATGTCCATTTCTCATTAAGTTTATTTAACAACAAACATTAAAAATACTTTTCATTTATAAATATTTATTTATTTATTATCAAATATAAAAAAAGCTCGAAATTTTTTATTAAATATATTGACTTTATCCGCTAAATATATATACTTATTTTTTTAAAAATATTAATTAAACTTCAATAAAAAGTATTTTTTTGATATTTTAGAAATAATAATTTGTTAAAAATTAAGAAAATTATATTAAAAATATAATGCTTATAAATTTAATTATATATATAATTATTATTTTATAAAAATTTTAATTTAGATTTTAATTTTTTTAAAAAATAAAAAGTATATTTTAAATTTAATTTTTTATTTTTAGATATAAATAAATAAATATATACATAGTTATATTTTTTATATTTATTATTAATTTAATTCTTTAGTTATTTTTGTTTATTTTAATAAAAAAAAATACTTAAATTAGATAAGAAATAACTCACAGAAATAATAAATAAAAAAATGTTAAAGTTAATAATTACAGTATTAATAATCGTTTTATTAGTTAATGCGACTTAAATCAAATAAACGGAAGTATTTGAATTAATATAAGGATATGTTTAAAATCCAAGTAATATTAAAACATAATTTAAATATATTTATTTTTATAATTTGAGTACACACAAAAGTTGAAAAAAAGTAAATTGATTATATAGATTTTAAAAATACTAAAGTTATTTTAAATTACGGTTAATATGAAACTTATCTTAATGATGAAGGATAATTTAAATTGTATTTTTTAAAAAAAATGAAATAAAATATATATATATATATATATATATATATATATATATATATATATATATATATATATATATATATTTATTTTTATATTTTTTAAATTTTATATTTTAATTATAGTTATAACATTCCGAAAGGCAAATATATATTAGAAGTAACTTCTAAAATATATTCATTTGAAAAAGTATTAAATTTAAAATTTGAAAATTTTATTTATGATTAAATAAAAAAAAGGCCATTATTTCTTATTTACCTAAAAAAAAAAATAACTCTGATTATGATATTTTTATATAAATTGTTGATCCAATCACATTAGATATATATTCAGATGTTAGAGATAATAATAAAATAATATTAAAACCAATTAATCGTATAGAGTATTTTGAAGTACATAATATATTTATAAATATAAATTAATTAATATATCTTTTTAAATTATAGAAAGTAGAACCTTTTAATATTTTAATGTTTTTCTTTAGTGGATAAGGTCTAATGATCACTATCATGGTTCTTTTCTACTTTTGTTCAAAGAATATGCCTAATATGGGTATTATTAAAATATTTTTAATTTATTTTTGTATATTTATTTGTATATAAAAAAAGACGAGTTGTAATAATAAGCAGCATAATAATATTAAAATCCATAAAGTTAAAATGCTTAATAAATAAGAAAATGAAATTGTTGTTTTATTTATTTGTTAAATATTTTTTTATTTTATTTTTAAAATAATATTTATTTAATTTTTAATTTGTTTTATTTCATTTTTAATTTAATAAATAATATTTTTAGAAATATATGTGTATATATATACTTTTTTTTTAAATAAAGATTTATTAATTTAATAATAAAAGAAATTTTACTCACCTTTCTGAAAACATGTTAGTTTTATTTTATTTTTTCTATATTAAATATATATATAAATACCTTAAATTTATTTAAATTTTTTTTATATATTAATTATAAATACTCCTTTTTATTGGGAATCATAAAATATAAAATGAAATATATTCCTTAATAATAACAATTCCTTGAGCCATAAGTATTTGTAAAAATACTTGATTATGAAGAAAGAATATTATCAAAAAAGTTTAGCTATGAAACTCTTCAAAAATTAATTGATTTATATGCTTAATGTGTAGAACATTATGATTAATAACATGATCCAATAAAAAATTATTTTTTAGAAAAAATTTAAATAACTTTATCTAGTTAACAAGCATTTAAAAGATTACTTTAAAAATAAAAAAATGATAATATTTCAAATTCGGAAAAAAATAGTTAAATAAAAAAAGATTAGAATAACTCAAATGATTATAAATTTAAAAATAGCGAATCTGATTATAGTGAAGAAAGTGAAGATATGAATACGTTAAATAATTCAGAAAATGAAGAAAAAAAATTAAATTTAAAAATAATTCGAAAATATATGGTGGTACTAATAAATAAGTATTTTTATTTAAAATAAATTTAATATATATATGTCCTTTTTAAAAAAATATACAAATAGAACAATAAATATAGTATCTTAAAAAAGAAAAAGAAAGATCAAAAAAAATTAGTATGTATCTTTAAATTTAGGAAGGAAAAAAATAAAAAATTGAAGATTTAAAATAAATAATTCATAACTTTTAATAAAATAATAATGAAAAAACTGAAACCTTGTATTAAAATTTAAAATTGCAGGTTAATGATGTATAATAAAGATTATAAAAAAGAAAAAGTAATTATATTATATTTTATTTAGATTTTAATTTAAAATATTTAAATTAGTATTAAAAAGTTAAAATTCTGAAATGAAAATAAATTTTTTATGTGAAAAAAACTAATGATTTATCAATTTATTTATATTGTTTTAATATATATATGTATTTTTTTTTTAATTTATTCAATAAATAAAATTGTTTTTATCAAATATAAAAAGCTAAAATAAATATTAATAATTTGCAATTATTTTTATTATCCAATTTTTTAGTAAAGTAATATTATATTTTGTTATTTTTAATATAAATTCAGTTATTAAAGCTATAATAATTTTTCATTGATAAAAATATATTTATTAAATTTAAAATATATATAATAGATTTATATAATTTTAATCTTTTACTATAAATAAAAATTAAATCAAATTAATTTAATATGCAAAATAATATATTTTTTTATAAAGAAATAACAAAAATCACTATTTATCATATGTATACATTTTTAATAATTAGATTTTATCTAAATCAATTAAAAACATAATTTTGTAACAATTAAACCTTTAAATTTAAAAGCATATAATATCATTTTTGTTTAAAAAAAATAAAAAAATAAAAATAAAATATATTTTTGTATTTCAAATATGCATAACAATTAATAAAATTAACAAATCTAAACTCTTAATAGAAAAGTAACAAAAATTGAATTTCTTTCGTAAGAAAATGAATAATTAAAATAATAAATTATAGATTTATAAAATATAATAAAATTAAATAAACAAGCATTATAATTAAGTTTTGATTAAAATTTAAAAATATAAACATGTTAAGAAAAAATACAAGCCGAGAACAATAAATAAAATATTTAAAATAATTCTTAGTTAACTATATAATTTTAAGAAAATAATTAAAAAGCCATTAATTTAGTTCTTAGTACTTTATATGAAGAAAATTAATTTTTACTTGAAATTAATCAAAGACTTACTGAAGAAAGAAACGTTGCTTTAGGGAAAGTATTTTATATATTTTAAATATTTTTTAATTGAAAATGTTTTATTTATTTTAAGGCTTTTGTAAATGAATAAATTTCTGAAGCATCTTAAATACATGAAAAATAACTTATTGAAGAATTAGAAGAAAGAAATAAACAATTATAATAAAAATTAAAAGATTAAGAATAAACTATTACTATTATTGAGAAAAAAAGACATGAATATGATATTTAAAATGGGATTGTTGTTAAATATAGAGATGTATTTTTTTTTATAAAATAAACAATTATTTTATTTTTATTTTTAAAAAGGTAATAAATATTAACGATTAAAGTTTAAGATTACACGAAGAAAGTGAAAAACTAAACTTAATAATACTTAAATAAAATAAATAGATTAAGGAATTAAAATAAAATTAAAATGATGTTATTCAAATTAATATGGTAAAAAGATTTTATATAATTCATTTAATAAAATAAAATAGTAATTAACATAACATTTAATTTATTTAAAATAAAAATATGAAAAAAATGCAAATTTAGAAACAACTAATTAATAGATTTGTTAGGAAAATATATTAAAAAGTAAGTAAAAAAACAAAAATTATTTTAAAAATAAAAATAAGTTTAAAATTAAATAATTAAATAATATCGAAACGATAGTGATAGTGATAATACAAGTTAACCTTCTATGGAGTAGTTCGATTTACCAAATAAAATTAACGTTTAATTAAATAAAAGCATAGATATTTAAATTCCTAAATTAGATTTAACAAAAGCTATTAAAATTTAATAAATTAATGCGAAACAATCAACTATTTAATAATTATAAAAATAATAAGGATTAAATATTGAAACTATGTTGCAATAATTAAATAAGTAAGTAATTTTTTTATTTTTTCTTAAAATATATAAATAATAGATTAGAATAAGATCTACTTTCTACAAAAAGGAATTTACAAAAAGAAATGTTTTCAAACAAAATCTTACAAACAGATAATAATAATTTGAAAAGAATAAATACAGAATTAGAATATAGAAATAAAATATTAATAGAATCATAAAATATGTATGAAAATAAATGGAAATAAATATATCCTTTATTAACGCATTATAGAGAAATTTACAAAGGACAATTAAGTTCGGAAAAACATAATACTAATTCTATTAGCAGTTTTAATATATGTTATAATACAAATGAAGCTTCTTACTAAAATACAACTTTTTAAAAGTTTAATAATAATAATGAATTTAATATTAGTGATAATTTTAATAAAAGTCTACGAAGAATGGTTAATTATTAATTTCATACTTTAGATAATTCCATTTTAAATTAGTTTAATCTTAATAACGATAAATAAATAAATAAAAATTTAATTCTTGATATAGCTAAGAGTATTTATAAAATTTTTAATAAATAGATTGTTTTTAAAAAGTAAATATTAAAAAAGTCTTTTAGTTTTGATAATTTAGATATAAAATGTTTTGATGATAATAAATTTGATTATGAAACTAAAAAAAATGTTTTATATATAAATACTATTTAAAATGATAATATTATTAACTTTACAGAATAGTCTTAAGATATTAAGAAATCTGAATTTAATTGAAATAATAATAAATAAACATTTTTGAGAATTTTTTTTATTAAATATGATATAGGTAAAATTTTTATATTTTTAAAAAAAAATATTTATAATTTTTATATTTATTTAAAAAAAAATATTTATTAATTTAATTTTTTTTTATAAAAAAAAATGAAATAAAAAATTTATTATTTAATTAAATATTTTTATTTATTAATTAAGGATATATATTATTTTTCTTAAACATTTTAAATATAAATAAAAAAAAATATTTATATATATATTTTAATTAATTATTAATAAAAAATTAAAAAATGTCAGTCCACGATAAAATGTAATCCGACTACATATGGATTAAAAACCATTCTTCTGCTGATTTAAATGCAAAAGCAAGAACTCACGGATATCATTATTTGCGTAAAATATTTACAAATAACATTTAAAAATTTATTAATTAATAAAAATTCAAAAGCTGGATCCATCCCAAATAAAACCGAAAGATATGAAATGATATGGAGAAGGTAATTTATTTTGATATAAAAATTATTATTTTTTAATAAATGCATTAAAATATAAAAATTTATAAAGTATGGGTAAAGCTCATGATTGGGAATTAGAAAAATTCAGAGTAAACTATTTAAAAATTTTCTATAAAAAAATATTTATATTAAAAAATAAAAAAAAGTTAGGAAAAAAACCAGTCGACAAAGGAAATAAAAGAAGATTCTTCAAAAATTTATTTAGATTTTGGAAAAATCCTGTTGGATATTTCTACTGGAAAACTTATAAAGCAAGAAAAGTAAATCCAGGGTAATATATATTTATAAAAATAAATAATTTATTTTTTTCTATAAAATGTTAAGTGCTATTGTAATTATGATGTTTATTGGTTTTACATTTAACTTTTTGAAATTGAAATTTATTTCAAGTAAATAAATAAAATATTGTAAAAAAAATTTAATATATTTTTTTTAGTGGGATACGCTTAAAAATAAGCCACTATGTTACAAAATGGATAAAACATTTAAGGAAGCGGTTAATCTCATTTCGGATATCATAATTAATTGTAGAATTATTTTTTTATTTTATTTATTAATTTTTTTATTTTTTTTATAGATGGGGTACTCCTGCTATTCCTATGTTCTAATTTATGTATTATGAACTTCCCGGAAATATGATTATTGTCAATCCTTGCAGAAACTAAGTCTTCAGAAAATACTTTGAAATGAGAAAGAAATTAGGATTACATTAAGATGAATGAGATTATTATCATTATTATTTTATTAGAACAAAAACAAATATTTTTTTTGTAGAAAAAAATAAAAAAAAATTAAGAAATATTTTTATTTTTTTTTCTTTATTAAATTTACAAAAGAAGGAAAAAATTATTTATTAAAAAAATAAAAAATATAATTTTTTTTTTTTTTTTTAATTAAAAATAAAAGTTAAAAATTTTATATAAAATTATTTAATTAGAAATTTAATAATAATTTTTAATATATTATATATGTATAATTAATAATAAAAATGATTATAATTATATTATATAAACAAAAAAATATAATTAATCATAAAAAATATATAATAAGATTATTTTAATAATTAAATGTTTTTACTTTTATTTGTAAAAGACCTTATTATTTTATATTTGTATTTTTTTTTTCATCTTTTTTTTAATTAACTATAACTATTTTATTTAAAGTTATTATTATTATTATTTAAAAAAGATGTAGGTCTATTAAAAAGTTTATTATCTGTAAAAAAGTTTTAGAATAACTTATCTTTTTCATTATTATTTTTTATTGTTTCCATATTTTTTTAATTAAAATATATTTATTATTATTATTATTACTTATCAACTTTAGATTTTTAATCCAACTTAATTTTTTGAATCAGATTTTCCGAAGAGTTAATATTATTATTGAAATTATATAATTGTAATTGTGTATTTTTACTTTATTTTTATTTAAAATTATTATTAAACAAATTTAATTTATTATTATAGTTTTAATTCAAATTCTAAGGTTTTAACCTGTCATATATATTAATAGGCTTATTCTTATATTTGTTTTATGAAAATTCTGCTTTTAAATATAATAATTATTTTTTATTTTTATTTTTTTAAATAAAAATAATACCAAAAAGTGTCTATTTTAATTCTAAATTACTTCTTACAAAAATATTTGACTTTAAAGAATTCGTATTTTAACCTATATTTTCTTATAAAAATAGATTATCAATTGAAAATGGTTTATTCTTTGAAATATTTCCGAATTGTTATAAATATTTGATACATTCTTATACTTTATTTTTTTCTATTACATTTATTATTAAATATATTTCTTCTCTTATTGGATTTTATAAATTATTTTTTTCTCTCATTAAAAAAATGCATGAAATTCCTAATGTAATTAATTCAAAATCATAAAATTTACTATCTTTTTTTTTATAAAATTAAAAATATAAAAATGTATAGTTTTCTTACCTTTTATTAATTGTTAAGCTAATTTAAAAATATTTTCTTCTACATTCTAAACTATATTAGATAATTATTGTTTATTCGGAGGAATTGGTATATTTTTTTTATAAGAATTTTAATTTTATTTATCTTCAGAGATAATTATTTCATCATTCTAATTAATTTCGTTTTTATTATTTTCTTTTTAAGAAGGAGTTAATTTTTAAGGGGAATTTTCAACTAATCAGTCGTCATTAAAAATAACTCCTTAAGAAAGAAAATATTCCAATAAATCATATAAAGTAAAACATTAGGTTTCAAAATTTAGACTATCTAAAATTTAAATTTCTGCTTTTCTTATATCGTCTCGTGTATATGAATATAAATTAGCATTTTTTTTTAAAGTGCTAATAAAAGGTATTTTAGAGTCTAATTCATTACTTTTTGCTGCAAGCATTAAACTTACAGATGAAAATAAATAAAGGTGTTACTCTATTTAAAAAAAAGTTATTTTTTTTTCATTTTAAGGTCTATTTTAAATCATTAACAGGTCCATATAATAAATACTTAAAAAAAAGACCTTTTAACTTAATTTTAATGATTTTGTAATTTCGTTCATAAAATTTATTATTTATTCTCTTTACTATTTTTTATTTATAAATTTATATGTATATGTTTTATTTTTTTTTAAATTACTTTTAAATATTTTTGATGTTCATTTAAATTGATATTAGTAAATTTGTTTTTTTATTAAATATTTTTCAAATAATGTTTTGGAGAAAACCTCGTTTTGTAATTCCATGATTAAGATTTTAGTCCATGTATTTTTCCATCCTGTTAATATTTTTAAAAACATATTTTAAATTTTTATTAAATAAAAATTAAAAACTTCATATAGTCTAATTCCGCAATTAATACAAAATTATTAGTTTTCATAAACTTTAGATTCTTTATGAGGACAATTAAATATTTAATCTTACATATCTTATTTTAATTAATTAATATCTGTGAATTATTATGTTCTATATTCTTATTTGTCACTTACAATTTATATTTAAGGTTTATTAAATTATAACTCTTTAATCATATATTTAATAATATTTTTTATTTTTTTTTTATTTTTTTTACAATTATTTATAATAATACATTAATATTTAAATGACAAAAATAATAATTTTAAAATATTCAAAAATATAATTTATAAATAAAAGAAAATATTTTGAATATATTGTTTTTTTGATTTTAAAAATAATTTTTTCAATTTAAACAAAATAATATATTTACTTATTATAAATATAAAGATTTAAAATTACTAATATTAAATAAAAAATTTATTAAATTTTTATAAAAAATAACAAAAAATACATGGAAACAAAAAATTTAAAAAAATATTTTTTTAAAAAATAGAAAAAAAAACATATAAATATAAAATATGAAAAAATCATAAAGTATTAGCCACTAAAGCAGTTCTATAATCTGAAAAATCTCCATTAAACTTTTTAATTCTTCCACTTTTAACATACCATATTTAATCGCAAACTGTAGAAATTAAATGTTAGTCATGCGAAACTATAAGTACACCTCCTTAATAATTATTTAAGGCAATAATAAGGGCATTAACTGCATCAATATCTAAATGATTTGTCGGTTCATCCAAAATTAAAATATGAGGATTTTAATATACAGCCAATGCAAAAGCAACCCTCGATTTTTGTCCTCCAGAAAGTAAATAATTGGGTCTAAGTGCCATATTTCCTGTGATACCAAAAGAACCTAAATGTTATCTATAAGCTTCCTAGGTAGAACCTACATAATCTCTTGAAATCTACTCCAAAGGGGAAAGTGTTAAATCTAATTAGTCCAAATGATGTTAAGTAAACATACTACATCTAAGTTTTCCACTCCTATATTAATTACCTTCAGTAAGTTACAAAGACCCGACCAATAATTTCAAAAGAGTAGATTTTCCTGCACCGTTAGCGCCTACAATAGCCACTCTAGAATCACAATCAACTGCAAAATTAATCCCTTTAAGTATTACTTAATCTTTAGAATACCCGAAAGCCCCGTCTTCAATCCTTAAAAGTGGAGGACGAAGTTTTTCAGGAGTAGGGAATATAAATACACATGAAGGGTCTTCTATAACATCTTCTATATTTTCCATTTTTCCAATTGCTTTTATTCTAGATTACACCAAAGATGCTCTTTTTGCGTTATATCTAAATTTATCAATAAATTCTTGCATATGGGCTACTTTGGCTTAATTAGCCTCGAATTTTTTCCTTTATAAAGAGTTTTTTTCATAACGAGTTTTTTCAAATTGGTCATAATTTCCTTTATAATAGATTAACTTTTACTCGAAAAAGTGGATAATGTCAGTACAAGTTACATTTAAGAACTCCCTAGCATGAGATACTACAACTATGGTCATATTACAGTTTATTATATAATCTTCTAACCACATAACAGCATCTAAATCAAGATGGTTAGTCTATAAATATAAATATAAAAATAAATAATGAATATATATATATAAATATATATATATATATATATATATATATATATATATATATATATATATATATATATATATATATATATTTTTACAGGTTCATCCAATAATAATACATCAGGTTAAACAAATAAAGCACGTGCTAAAGATACACGCATTCTCCAACCTCCAGATAATTAAGATGTTGCATTTCTCATCATTTGTTGTGAAAAGCCAAGCCCACCGAGTATCGCAGCTGCTTTAGATTCCGCCATATGAGCATCTATTTATTCGAGTCTTTCATATATTTGAGAAAGACGAGAAGCACTTTTTAGGTTGTCTTTTTCTTTTAGTAATTATTGTTCTTCATTTAAAAGAGATTCTCTTTCAATATCAGTTTCGAGTACCTATATTTTTTATTTTAATTTTTTTTTAATTTTTTTTACGTGTTGTAAAGGAGATTTATAAGAAGCTTTCGTCTCTTACTCAACTAATAGAATTTATAAATGTTTGGGCATTCCATCGAATTCACTTCTGGCAAGGGCGTTCATGAAACAGGTTTTTCCAATACCGTTTCGACCAATAAGTCCATATTTTCTTCCATAAGTTAATCTTAATTTGGCATCTTCTAATAGTGCTCTTCCTCCTATAATGACATTAACGTTATCTAATTATAAGTCTAATGTTTTTGCTTCTGAATTTCTATGATGTCTAACCTTTTTATATTTATTTAAAATATTTTTATTTTTTTTACTTAAACTGGAGGCAGTTTTTTTTCGGTTTCATTCATATCCTTTTGATACCTTTCGAATAATTATTTTTTCTTTTTTAAAGCTTCTTCTTCTCTTTTTAATAATTTCATTTTGAGTTCTTCGTGCGTTAATTCTTCATTTGTATTAGCACCTCCTTTAGTTCCTCTAAAAGCATCATCATAACCATGATTATGTAAATCGACTTCTTTTATAAGTTCTACCTAATTTAGGGTTACTGGAGCATCTAATTTTTCGGCTGTTAAATTAAATTTATTCTCTTTTTTTATTATTTGGCTTTACAGCAATATTTCATGTAATTCATTACATATTTTTAATGCTTATTATTTATTTACCTTTTTATATTTTTTAAATATTTATTAATTTTTAATATTTTTTACATAATTGCCATTATGGATAAAATCACCAATAAATTCATATAAATCTTAAGATGTTGTAGGACATTCTTCAATTATTATACCGGCTATATGCTCGTAAAAAAATTCTGGAAGATTTGATTATTTTAAAAATTTAGAAACTATTTATGTTGCTTCTTTTATATTTCCTTGATCTTATAAATTGACTTGACTTATTCTTATTAAATTTTCGTGTCGGGACATTGATTATTTCAATAAGTTTTATTTTAAAATATATATATATATATAAAATATTAAATTAATATGTTTTTTAATAGATATTTTTATTTTATTATTATTAATTTTGGATTATTTTTTAAAATGTTATTTATGTTTAATTTTTTGTTGATAAAGAATATAAATGATATGTTTGTGTTTAAAATCTTTTTAAAGACAAAAATAATAAAAAAAGTATAATTAGATATTATAATAAATTATATATATATATATATATATATATATATATATATATATATATATATATATATATTTATCTTTTTATTACAAATTAATATATTTATCTTTATACTTTTTACAATTTTTTCGTATTTTTTCTTTTATTTTATTATTTATTAAATATATTTATGAATTATATCAAAACAATATTAAATAGTAATAAATAATTATTATCATTATTTTTTTCAAATGATTATTTTAATCTAAATAATTATTATATTACTTAAATTATAAATAAAAATATTTCTTTTACTCAATCTTATTATAAAAAAAATAAAAATATATTTTTGTTTTTTTTTAACATTATATATCAAATTTCGTTAAAAATGAATTATATATAAAATATTATTTTTAATTAGTTTTAAATTATATATATATATACTTTCTGTATATAAATTTTATATTTCTTTTATATTTTATCTTTATTTTTTTCTGAATAAAATTAGTTTAATCTAAAAAATATTTATAAAAATATAGATATAACTATATTATTTATAGGATTAATAAATTTTAAACATAAAAAAATAATATTTTTATATGGGGTAAGATCATTCCTATATTTGTCAAAAAAAAGAAGATAAAGAAACAGTTTGTTAATAAGAATAAATAGATTATTAATTAAATTATATTGAAATAAAATAATATATATAACGAAGTATTTTAAACAAAAACAAGCCAATTAGAAACCATTAATTAATTAAACTATAAAAAGTAATTTGTGATGATAATTTTATATAATATTAAAATATTGATTTTACTTCTCCTTAAGCAAATTAAATAAATAAAAAAAAATTATCTTTTTATACTCCTATTAAAGAAGTAGGGTAGTTTTCTACTTTAAAAAAAACACATTCGTTTTTACATCATTAAGGATTAAATAGTTAAGATTTACAAAAATAATTAGATTCCCAATAAAAAAGTTCTTAAGAAACCGAAGGAACTCCTATTCATGTTTATGAAGTATATTAAAATGGTTGTATATATTCAGGATATTAATTGTAATAATAAAAAAATGGATAAGGGGAATACGTTTTTACAGATAAAACCGTTTACAAAGGTAATTGGGTTAAAAATAAAATGAATGGAAAAGGGTTAATTATTATATATTTTAATTATATTAACATTATTTACTTTAGTAAATTGTTTTATCCTGATATGTAAGTTATGTATGAAGGATATTTTTTAGATAATTTTTTTGATGGATAAGGTACTCTTCATAATTGCTATGTTGATAATAGTTTGAGTGCAGATGATAATATTTATTATTATAATTTTGATAATATTAATAATAAATGGATTAAATATGAAGGAGAGTTTAGTTAAGGGATGAAATGTGGGAAAGGAAGATTTTATATATCTAATGGAGATTTTGTTTATGCAGAATTTTTTAATGATTAAATTAGTGGAGAAGGTATAATTTATAAATAAAACTGTAATTTAATAAAAGGAATTTGGCATAAAAATAAATTAATTAAATTGGTTTATTGAATAAATCATTTAAACAAAAAAATATCAAAAATATGTGTAAAAATATTAATAATATAAATTATATATTTCAATATTATATAATAAATAAAAAATGATAATTATGATAATTAATTATATTTTTTTTTTTAATAATAATTATTTTTATAATTGTATTTTTTTTAATTAGTATTATTATTTTAATTTAATTTCTATAAAATAAAATAACATAATGCTATCTTTTTTTCTATATTTAAATAGTTTTATATTAATTATTATTGGAAAATTAACAGTATTTTATCATTTTTCATTACAATTAGTTAATTAGATAAATTACAAAAAATATACATGATAATGTATTTTTAATAAATAAAAATTAAAATACTTTTTTTATAAAAAAATATTTTTTATAATCTTTTTTTATTAAAAATAAAATATGTTTAGTAATCGCAATTAATATTCTTATATTTATTTTTTTCTAAAATTTTTCAAATTGCATTTGTTTTCATAAAGTCAGTCGAATGCATTCCACAATATTTGGTGCAGTTACAAGCTTTTAATATTTTCAAAGTCTAATTGTGCAAGTTATATTATTGCTTTTATTTAATATTCGTCTTTGATTTCTTTTTTGTAAATATTTCTATAGAGCTTCAATTATATAAAAAATAGTTTTTAATTAATTAAGAAATAATTTGGGGGGTTTTATACTATTACAAAATTGTTAGCTGTTAATATAGACTTTAATTGTTTCGGTGAAGGCTTTGTATTATTGAATGTGAAAAGGCATTCCTTTTTAATTTATAGTACATACTTTTTTGTACCTATTTATTTATATCTATGGAATAGGCATATATATTTTCAGAACCAAAGGTTAGAAAAAAATAAAATAAAATAGAAAGTATTAATTATAATTATAAAAAAGTTGAAAGCCATAAAAATACCCCTTTTATAATCTTATTATATATAATATATTTAAATTATACTTATTTTTTGTTTGATTGTATTTTTCTAATTATTTTTGTATACTAAAAAATTATGATTGATTGTACTTTTTTATAAAAGTTATTTTTTTATTAATTATTAAATATTACAAATATTAATATTTTTTATTTAAAGAAATAAAAAGTATATTAATAAATAAAATAAAAATTTATTATTAAAAAATATGCAAATTAATATTTATTATTTTGAAAAAATTTCTCTAGTCAATATTCTATTAAAACAAAATCCCTTTCTTAAAATAAAATAAAAAAATCCATATCTTATAATAGGATGAACAAAAAAATCATGTGTAGTGTATACTCTACTATTAAAAAAGTTTTTTGATCAGTGAAAATGCAGGTTTATCAATTTAATTAGAAAAATCTAAAATGTTTTTTGGAAAAAGAAAAGCTAAAGAAAAAAAGTATTTATAATCAAAAAAATTTTTTAATCAACAAATTCTTTTTATAAAAAAGCTAATTGGATTTTTGTAAAAATACTAATAATTTCTTCTAAAAAAAAATTAAATGAAAAAAAATAAAATACAATATTAAAAAAACAAAATTCGAATAATTTTCAAAGTAATATTTTTTTTTTTTTATATAAATTAAATGCAGAAATAATAACCTATATAATTAATTAATAATTTGTTGCAAAAATGGGAAATAGATATTATTTAATTTTTTTGTTTTGCATAATATTTTTTCAGAAAAAAAAAAAGAGTTAAAAATAGAAAAAATACTAGTAAATAAAAATCTAATAAATATGACATTATTTTTTTCGAATCTAAAAGTAAAATAATTAGATGTAATTAATAGAAAATTAATAATCCCATTTATGATTTTTCTGAGGAAGAGTTTAATATTTTTGCCTAAATCTTACTATTCTATTTTAATTTAAAGCCATATGTCTGATTTAAATATTTATAAAATAAATTTATTATTAAAAAAGGAAAATTGTTCTTTTAGCAAAATTCCTTTTAAAATTTATAAAATATATCAAAATATTTATAAAGACCATTAAAAACCAAAATAATTTACTATAATTGCTATTAAATATTGAATTTGTGATGAAAAACTATTTTAAAAGTAATTAAATAATAACCGAAGTCAAATATAGGTTAACTTGAGTATAATATGTGCATAAAACTTCTGTAAATAAATTTTATTTATGCGATAAAATGAAAATTAAATAGATTTTAATTAATTATGCGTTTTTAAAAATTAAAAATTCAATAGTTATCTTTTATTTATTTAAATAAAAATAATAAAAAATGTATATTTTATTTAATTAAAAAAAAATAATTGAAATTTATTTAAATATATTAATAAATTTGAAAAAAAAATATTATATAATGTAAAATATACTATTTTATAAATTTATTTCATATTTATTGATTATTATTTTCAATAAATTCGTCATCTTTTTATTTTATTTGGAATAAAATAGGATTCATATTGTATTGGTTTAATATATTAGTAATTAATCTATATGTCTTTTTAAGTTTATATAAAGTATTTGTCCTTTTTAAGTATTAAATTTTCTTTTTTTAATACATAAAAATTATTTTTAATTTACAATAATAAAATATTACATTTATATTCTTTTAATTAATTAATATTTTTAAGACTGAATGAATTTTAAAAAAATAAATTTCTAAATGTCCTATAATATTCATTAGTTTATTTTATTATTATCTTATTTCTTAATATTATTTATTTTATATTTAGTAGCTATCTCTTTTTTTCCATGTACTATTATTATATTTTTTATTTGTGCTATTACCATTATATTTACTTTCTAGTTTTTTAATAGGATATTATAAAATTTAATTTTTTATAGTTTAACTATTAATGATTTTAAAAGGAGATTTATCGCAAATTTTTATAGATTAAATTAATTATTATTAACATTATAGGTACTTGTTTAACAGTTATAGAGTATTGATACACTCATTATAATTTTAAATAACAGGATAAACAGTAAATATAAGATTAATATTTTTGTAGTTTTACAAATTATAATCGGAATTTGTATCTTTATTTATTAATAATAATTCTTTAATGGATTATTAGAAAGTTTATCCAAAACAGAAATGTTTTACTTTACTAGAAGATAATAATTTGAATAATATTTCTTTTTTTTCTCCTATAAATATTTTCGCACTAAAATCTCTCACTTTAATCCCTTTATTTTAATTATTTTAATATTGTTTTTATTAATTTATTTATTCATTAAATATTTTAATTATATCAAATGCATTTTATTATTATAATACCAAATCAATTATTTAATAATCTACA